AAGGCTCTGATACCACTTGTTATGAATTAATCTCAAATAATTCCACAATAACCTAGATCGTGCGAGACCACTTAGATATCAACAAAAATAGATTGAATAGAAAAGGTTGGCGTACCTTGACATCGTTGTCTCGCGGATCTTGATGTGCCAGAATTAGGTTTGCAGCCTTCAGCAGAATCTGAAAATCGATTTAGCGGAGCGTACGAAATGACGTAAAACTGAATCGTAATTCAAAACTCCTCTGGGGAACCACAACCTTTATCTACCTGTAGCGTTAGTACAATATCCTATTTCGGGTCCTTTAACGAAATAGAAATTATATAATGGTTCTCTACACTTAATTTCTTATAATTCATGTTTGATACCTCAATAGTCAATTATTCACAATCCAAAGACCACATTGAAAAATCAAGACCACATTTGAAATTGACTTTACAATTAGACTACTGTACGTATTTATTTTACATATTAAGCCCACAATAGAAAATTAAATCCAACAATAAAATCAATTACATCACATCTAATTGGTTAGAATGAGAAATTTTAACAAAATTTCATACATGATGTTTGAAAAATTTTCAAAGTAAGTGATTATGATGAATGATACTCCCTCCGCCCCATATATATAGACTCTCTTTCCTTTTTCATTTGTATTATATTTTTAATGTCCAAACTTTCACTTTTTTTTTTTCTATTTTAGCGTCTCAACAGAAAACGGCAATGATTGAGTGCTTAAACTATTTAAATTTTACAATTGGATATCTCCGGCTGACATGGCTAACCGAAAATTTGATTGTGTACATGTTGGACCCACTTTTTAATGCGTGGCAGCTAATTTGGCAAAAAAAGCTATATTTGTTTGCAAAATAAGCTTAAACTAATGCTAAAATTGTGGAAAATGTCAATTTTAAACCCCACTTAATGTTTTCCATCTACCTCCTTATTTTCTGTGACATCCCGACCCGGCAAAGCGATCCTAGGATGGAAGGCTAGCTAGGGTAGTGGAATGCGGGACACATGAATGAATCGAATCATATAGCGAAAAGGGGGAAACTAATCATTAGAGACGCCTTTTGGTGGCTGGAGAGTTGGAAAGAACTCCAGTAAGCGTGCTCGCTTAACGGAAATCTAGGATGGGTGACCTCCTGGGAAGTTTTGCCCATTTCACCTTGCCGGATAAAACCGTGCGGGGTAGGGCTGTGGCGGGACTACATTAAAAGGTGTAAGGGTCCGTGGACTAACACCAAAGCGAACAATTCCTCTAGTGATTAGAGTTGGAGCGTGACAGTGCTAATCAGAGCCGAAACCCCCTCCAGTAGATGTACTGGTTCGGAGGATGGAATCCGCGCAGAAGCTAGTGGGCCTGGACATTACCCGACCCAGCAAGCGATCTAGGATAACAGGCTAGTACGTGACAGTTTGCTATCAGAGCCGCCTTAAACCCCCTCCAGTTAGATGATATGGTTCGAGGGACGAACCACGCAGAAGCTGCGGTGAGCCTGTGACACCCGACTGGCAACGATCCTAGGATGCAGGCGTAGCTTAGTGTAGTGGAATACAGGACATAGGAATGAAATCGAATATATATCGAAAAAGGGGGAAAACTAATCATTAGAGGCGCCTTTGCTGGGAATGGGCTGCAGAGAGTTGGAAGAACCTCAGGGTATTAAGCGTGCTCGCTTAATAACGGGAATCCTAAGATGGCAGGTGACCTCCTGGAAGTTTCCCATTTCACCTTGCGGGACAAAACCGTGCGGTTTAGGGTGGCGGGTTAGGGCGTGCGGAGGGACTACATTGAGCGTGCGGGTAGGGCGTGCGGGGACTACATTGAGGTGTAGGGCGTCCGTGGACTACACCAAAGCGGACAATTCCTCTGGTGATTAGAGTCAGGGCGTGACATTTTCGTTCTTCATTGTTTGTCTCTATTCAATATTTCTTGCTTAAATTTTCTTTTCTCTCTTTGCCTTAACCCTTCTTCAACCTATATGCACTAGAAATCTTGTCACAAAACCTGTAGATGGAAAGCTCTCTAAAATTTTCTCTTTTTTTTTAAATTTTTTCACTTTCTTTCTCCTCGTCAAAACTACTAATTCCAATCAACTTCTAAGATCCAACTTTTGTAACTCCACAAGTGTTTTAATCAACCATTCTTTAAGCATAATTGCTTATTTTCTAGCAAAATACACGAATTTCAAGAATGCATTCCATTGTCAAACCTAATCTGTAGATCTTTATAATTTAAGAAACTAATAATATTGGGTATCTCCATTTGACTCCATCTTATCTACCAAGGGTGATTTTATTAACTTAATTAAAGAACAAAGCACTTGTTGATTGATTTCCAAGAAGCCACTGAATAAGAGCATGTATTAATAGACCCATTAGCACTTGACTGATAAAACATCTTCGAAAGCAAAGCTACAAATATAAAACCACATTGTTGTTTAATTCGTTTAGACCAATTGTTATAATTATTATCATAAATAATTTTTTCAAAAAATGTAGAGAATTTTAGATTTGAGAATTAACTCTTGTAATTTGCCATATTGAATTAATAAACTCACTAATGCTTCTTCATTTTTGTTTTCCATGGGCTCTTTCAACGCTGCTATTAAACTCTCAATGTTTTAGGATTGATTCAAGCTTGAATTTTTGACTTGATTTACCACGATTTGGAAAATGGAGTGAGTCAAGACGTGACGATTTAAAAATTTTCAAAAACTGTAACCACGTGATTCTTGTAAAGGTTCAATAAGAGTTCTAAGAATAGTAAGGTGTTGAGAGAGAGTAAAGAAATTTGAGTTTTTAGAAAGAATAGTATCATAGTTAGTTTTTAAGCTCTAATAGAGCTTTAATGGTGATGAGCTTGAATCAGTAGATTTAGGAGTGAGATGGAGTTGTAAATCATGAGAAACTTGTTTAAGAATTCTAGGACTTTAAGGACTCTTGAAATCTCTTCTTTTGATTATGGGTCTTCTATTAATGGATAAGAAAGAGAAAAAACATAGTATGAGTCTATTTCAGAAAGAAATAGAGAGAAGAGACGACATCTGATGTGAGTAAGTTTAAAGTTGATATTTCTCATATTTTCCACATCAGCTTCAAATTATCTGGCAAAAAATACAAATCTTTTTTGCCAAGCCAGCTGCCATGCATTAAAAAGTGGGTCCCGCACTTGCACAATTAAATTTTCGGTTAGACATTTCAGCCGGAGATACCCAATTGCAAAATTTAAATAGTTTAAATATTCAATCATTACTGTTTTCTGTTGAGACACCAAAATAGAAAAAAAAAGTGAAAGTTTGGATGCTAAAAATACAATTATCCCTTTTAAAAGATCATTTATTGTTTAATTTTTTAATATATCTTTATTTACTGTACATTTATATTTCTAATTGTATACATTACAAGAATTAATAAAGGGGTACTGTAGAAAAAATTAAATAAAAAATATAGTTTAACTATCTTAATAAAATTTTCTGCTATAGTTAGGTCATGCATATACTTATCATTCGGTTATGCTTGGTGTGCAATAGAGGGAGTATATTTAAACTATCCTGTAATTTACAGGATCTAGGAAAATAATTTTTCAGAGTCAATGTATAATAAACTATAATAAAAAGAGTTCATTTGAAATTTTAATAAGGATAAATTAAAAAAGATACATATATATTAGAAAAAAATTAAGAAAAAAAGAGGGATCGAGTTACCCCTTCGATAACATAGATCCGCACTGCCTGTTAGGGGTTGTGCATGGGTCAGGTTGGGACGAAAATTATATATTTTCAGTCATATTCCAAAATATCGAGACGTAAAAAACGGAGTTCCAATCCTATCCTAATAGATATATAGTCTCATCCCATCCTGTATCATTTTTTGAAAAGGGATGAGCGAGAAGAGAATTTGGTGTTTATGGGACAAGACGAAATGCGTCGGGTCGAGAATCAATTGGATTTTCCGTAGTCTTACTAAATTATTTTTCATAAAAAAGATAAAAATTACTATATTCATCAATTACAATCAAACAAAATTCACTTATATAAGTTTGAATTTAGAAAAAGAATAAATCAAATAATTAATTCAATTTAAATAAATAATTAATTCACTTCTTGGGATGATGCTACTAGCTAAGTTATAGAAGATTTTTAAGTAGTTATTTTCTAGTTATTAAAAGTATTAAATATAATAAAATAAAATAATATAACAACTATATACAATTTAACTTTAGATGTATTATACGAATTTTAACTTGTCATTGTTTTTTTCACTGTTGTTTTTAAGTTGATTTAAATTTGATACTTATGTAATTTAATATTGAATATCATCTGAAAAAATAAATAATGATAGTATTAAACATAACCAATAATCTAGTAATCGAATTAACTGAAGTTAATATTTTCTCTTGCTTTGATTAGTCTTCATTTTTTATTTAATAAGAAAAAGATTTATTCAAAAGATTTAATTAACACATAATGTGGAATAACAGAGGAAAAACCTATGTCAAAAAATATGTTTAATTACATGATTTATTTTATATATAAAAAATGCATATTATTTTTTCATATTATTATTACTTTAGCAATAATTAATATCATAAAAACACTAAAATAAAAAGAATTAAATGATTTTTACGGATATAATTTGAAATTCATATAAAAAAAGGCAACTAAAATTTTAAAGAAAAAATGGGACATAATTTACGATTTCCGAAACGGAACCGGACGAAATAGGACAGAACTTGAATTAGTATGAATCAGTTTTAATTAAAGAATCGATCTTAAAGATAGAACTTGAATCGTTACGACTCAGTTTTAATTAAAGAATCAGACATATCTCTTGAATTTTCTCGGATGAGAATATTGTATTAATATAGAATTTTTCTCGGAATATAAAATTCAGGAAGGTTTTAGTAACGGAATACAAAATAGGATTGCAGGTCCGTGCATACCCCTACTGCCTGTAAAGCAAACTGAAAGAAGCAGCTTCGAAGCCTAATTACTCTAAAGTTTGGTTTGCTCCACCAATCCGGTTTCAGACAAGAGAGGGATCTTGATCCTATTTGTCGAATGGGGTTAGAGCAACGTGACCATATAACCCTAAATGGCCATTATGCCCTTATACTAGGTAGGTAGATACCAAAAACCAACCTGGTACTCTGCCACTTTAGTTGAATTTCAAGAAACTTAACTTTGGGCGTTCATTTCAATAAACGGACAAACATTTCCGGTGAATCCCCAGACTATGACATCTCCCTACAATACCCATTAACTCGTAGAAAACCCCCCAAAACACTTAATTTCCAGGTTGGACCCGCAAACCCATTAACTCGCCATCAACCATTTTTGTCTTCAGTCTCCTATTTAAAGCCCCCAAGTCCTCTCTAAACTCTTGCAGTTAACAGTTCAAGGTCACCGTCTTCAAATCTTTTGATCTCTCTCTTTTAGGAGACAATTATTGGGTAGTTGTTGCAATGGCAGAAAAATGGGTGAGGATGGTTACTGCACAGACGCCAACAAATATAGCGGTGATTAAGTATTGGGGAAAGAGAGATGAGACCCTTATTTTGCCTGTTAATGATAGTATAAGTGTTACATTAGATCCTTCCCATCTTTGTACTACTACAACTGTTGCTGTTAGTCCTACTTTTGATCAGGATCGTATGTGGCTTAATGGAAAGGTATTAGCTTCAAGTATATTTTTAACCTTCTCTTATACTTGTCAGCTGAATTGGGTTTTTGGTGTTTTGAAGGAAAGACTTGAAAGAATCTGATATGACTTGGAATGAAGGAAAAATGTTTGCTGAGAAAATGTTGAGGAATCTGATATGACTTGGAATGAAGGAAAAATGTTTGCTGAGAAAATGTTGAGGAATCTGATATGACTTGGAATGAAGGAAAAATGTTTGCTGAGAAAATGTTGAGGAATCTGATATGACTTGGAATGAAGGAAAAATGTTTGCTGAGAAAATGTTGAGGAATCTGATATGACTTGGAATGAAGGAAAAATGTTTGCTGAGAAAATGTTGAGGAATCTGATATGACTTGGAATGAAGGAAAAATGTTTGCTGAGAAAATGTTGAGGAATCTGATATGACTTGGAATGAAGGAAAAATGTTTGCTGAGAAAATGTTGAGGAATCTGATATGACTTGGAATGAAGGAAAAATGTTTGCTGAGAAAATGTTGAGGAATCTGATATGACTTGGAATGAAGGAAAAATGTTTGCTGAGAAAATGTTGAGGAATCTGATATGACTTGGAATGAAGGAAAAATGTTTGCTGAGAAAATGTTGAGGGAAGAAAGACGTTCATAAAAGATCAGAAAACAAAGAATTCTTATGATTAAACATGAATCCATGGTTGAATCAGATTCTAATTGGTTTTTAATTCATTGTTTTGATAATTCAAGAAAGGGAGTAAAAAACAATCACTGTACTATCTGAGTTTTCTTGTTTCTTCCACCAAATAACAAATACACCTAGGATTTATTTATTAATTTAGCTTTTTCGCTAAGCACAAATATTCTGACTCAACTTGCCCTATTTGAAGAACCTTGCACAAGTTATGTACCGGTTAAAGGATTTTTGTTTTAGGAAACAGCGGTTAAAGTGATTTTTTTTTTTTTTTTGTTAGGAAAAAAAGGCGAAGCTGGTTACTTGGTTAATTGCACACTTAATTTCTTATACCTTTTTGTTGATTCATGGCTTTTTTTTATTTTGCTGGTTAGTGTAGGAGATTTCCCTTTCTGGAGGCAGGTTCCAGAGTTGTTTAAGAGAAATTCGTGCTCGAGCCTGTGATGTTGAGGATAAAGAAAAGGGTATCAAGATTGTAAAGAAGGATTGGGATAAATTACACGTGCATATGGCATCATATAACAATTTCCCTACTGCTGCTGGACTGGCTTCTTCAGCAGCTGGTTTTGCTTGTCTTGGTAAAGACGTTTTGCTCCATCTTTCTTGTGCATTTGTTCTTTTCTCCTTGTGCGTGATTGACAAGCCTATAGTTTGAAATATATCTTTGGTAGCTTTGTGTGTGTTAGCAGGACTCCTCTTTGAGTGTGAGAAACTGTTGTGATAATATATCTGGTTCTTGATGATTAAAATGTGCTTGATTCTCTCATTCAGCTTTATTGAGGATGAAGAGTAGAATGTAAATAGAATTTACATAGATTGCATTATTGAATATTTCCTGATAGGCTTAGCATTCTGCCCATGCACATATAAGTCTAACTTAACAGATAGCAGTTGTAAGGTTTGTATTTCTGAATGATAACTTAATGGGGTCTCGATTCAGTTTTCAAACAGAAATTGATGTGACCAACCTGTTTTACATGTTATTTCTTTTATTTGTCTCTCTTCATAATTTTTGCTTATGCCACTGCAGTCATAAAAATCTGCTGCATGCATTTTTAAGTGGTCAAGAATCGAGGTGCTTCTGGAGCAGATATGACTGATAATTATCTGATACTGAGTATGAGTTGGCTTATTTCTACACTTTGATGCTAAGCATTTCTTTGGTTAATTTGCATGGTTAAGTAATAGACAAACTATTTTAATCCCATTTGGATGGCCCCACTTGGCATGGTGATCATAGTTGATATATGTGTATAAAGGCACTGTAGTTCATATGATTGCATTTGGCCTTGTAGAATTAAAATCTGCTCGACGTAATTGAATGAGTTTATATGAATCTGCCCATTGTCAACCTGAACCAGAAGTATCTGTTATTTCTTGCAAAAATATGCTAGGTTATAGTGAATAATTGTTTACTTATACATAACTACACCAATTAAACTAGAGTCAGCATTTTATATGTCTAACCATGCACTATCCTTCTTTGAAAAACCTCTGTTGATTTTTAGCTTTGCATGTTCTGAACTCTATCTTTTATTCATCTTTTATTGGACTGGAGAAATGGTATTGAACATGTGGATATGTTTTAATGCAGTGTTTGCCCTAGCAAAGCTTATGAATGCTAAAGAAGATAATGGTGAGCTCTCTGCTATTGCAAGGTATATCCTCTATGGCTGACATGTTTTTTTCACTTTCAAGCTGTTTAATGCTTGGTTTCAATGGTTTTTTTCCCCGCCATGCCTCTATTTTAACTAGCGTAGTTGACTTTCTTCTGTGGAATCTTATTCATGCATGTGATTTATGCCTGCTATCCCTAGTGCTTTTTTCCACAATGTTTGCAATGGCAACTTCTAGTTGGCACTTCTTTGCATTTTCAAGTTGTTGCTTGATTTGGTTTGCATGATGTGTGCCTTTTTGTTTATGATCTGAATTGCCTGGTGCGTGCATCATTTCTGACATTTAATTATTTTTTTTATTTTTTTTGTAGCTGGCATTACATTTTTTCATCGTCAGAGACTCTATACTTAATTAATTTATTGGAAATTTTATATTTACTGCTATCTCCAGTTTATAGTTCAGCTATAAAATTTATACTTAAATATGTTGGAAATGCTCGTATAAGATGGAATCAGACATTTGATATTCGTAGACTTTCTTTCTTAGGCAAGGTTCAGGCAGTGCTTGTCGCAGTTTGTTTGGTGGTTTTGTGAAATGGAACATGGGCAAAGTAAGATTTATTTTGAGATTCATTTTTGTGGCTTCTGTTTAGAAGGTGTTTGGCCATTTTGATAAGTTAAATGTTATTTTTATTTTGAATGCTCAAGGTTGAAGATGGAAGTGACAGTCGTGCTGTTCAAGTTGTTGATGACAAGCACTGGGATGATCTTGTTATTATTATTGCTGTGGTATGCTTCTTTTTCTTATTAGCAGTTTCCTGTTCCAATAAGTTTGCTGGTTGCCTGTCCCCTCCAGTATTAAGTAATTCTGGAATTATGTGGACCTGGTATTTCTTAAAATTTCTTTTTGCTGGTTTTGGCTCAGTTATTTTTCTCCTCTTCTATGGTGAGTATTATCATAATGAAGTTTGAATCTATTTTGACATTTGCATCTGGAAGTATGTTTTCATGTAATTGATTTTTTCATATGCTTGATATTTATTTTATTTACTTATTTCATGACTACATTCCCATGTCATCTATATCCATAGCATAATTGTACCAGTTTTAGCTTCTTAATTTCATTCTCATTCCTAGAAACACATTGAAGGAAGTTGTCGCAAAAGATCTATTGTCTCTTGAAATCAGTGCCAATTTAGCTATGAACAGAGCAGAATGGAGACAAAAGAATTCATGTAGCTGAGTCCAATTAGTTTGGGATTAAGGCTTAGTTGTTGTAAGTTTAATGTGGATCTATATGTGTATCATTTTGCACAAATGCCTGCTTTGCAGGCATTGTAAATATCGAAACAAGTTGGCTAAAGAGTAAAGATTATTTTAAATATCTTAGCTTATTGAGTACAGACATGACACGCAGATGAAATATAGTTGTTTATCAACCTTATGGTGGATTAGGTCAGGGGTGAATTAAGAATTTCTTATATAGATTTTCAGATAACAGTAGTGATTTTTCTCCTAATTTTGATATCCTGGAAAAGCTTCTCTCTGAAACTCGCACAATAAATGCTTAATACCTTGTCCTGGAAGATTCTATCATCTAAGTCTGATCTGGGACGTAATATTCTTCAGGGATTTACTTATTATGATCTGTTTATACTTTGAGCTGCGAATTATGATTTCTAACTATCTTAAGTGTGATCTACAGTTGATTTTAGTGCATCAACTTTTGATGCAATGATTGTGAGAATGCTGATTTTTGTCTTTGGGACAAGGTTTTAGTCCTCTGTGAGCTTAATTTCTGATATAAGAAAGCGTGCTCAGCAATTTTTGGTATGAGGCCATGGTACTCAGTAATCACATCATGCTATAGAGGACTAGCAGTTACCATTCCATTTTCCCGTTTATCAATTTTACTTTTCTATGCATAAGGTTCTTGTAATCTCATTCTTAATTTCATTTTCTAGGTAAGTTCACGGCAGAAAGAAACAAGTAGTACCACAGGAATGCGTGAGACTGTTGAAACTAGCCTGCTTTTGCAACACAGAGCTAAGGTGCTTCTTAATTTCCCTTAATTTTAATTTTTGGCAGCTGCTTTTTCTAAGAGGTTCTCCCTCTCTCTCTCTCTGTCTCTCTCTCTCTATATAGGGTTGGACTTGTATACTGGATCTTTTCAATATGAAAGGCATGTTTTCTGATTTGCATAATTTCTTTTACTTGGATTCCATTTTTTTCTTCAGATTTTTCTTTTCCTACTGAAATTTCATGTACTTCTTTTCCTTGATGGTGGTTGTTCTCAAATTACAGTCATTCTTTAGCTAATCTGGTGTGTTAAGAATTTGATATAAATTTGACATGCTTTCTTCCTTGAATTCAATAGGAGGTTGTACCAAAACGCATTATAAAAATGGAAGAGGCCATAAAGAACCGTGATTTTGCATCTTTTGCACAATTAACCTGTGCTGATAGTAATCAGTTCCACGCTGTCTGCTTAGATACATCCCCCCCTATTTTCTACATGAATGATACATCCCACAGGTGAGTCTTATTTCCAGTTTTTATCTTACATGGGCTCTAGGCTATGTAAATTATGGAATGTATTGATTGAGGTATCACTCTGTACACTTTATTTTTTATCATTGTTTATGTTTCAGGATAATAAGCTGCATTGAGAAATGGAATTGCTGTGAGGGAACACCTCAGGTAGGTTTACTTTTACATTCTTATTTGGGGTGGATACGACACAATCTAGAACTAAATTATGAACTTGAAAACAAATATTAGAAGTTCAAAAACAGCATTTGATACAGTTATAATCATTACTCAATATGCAGCCTTTGGTGATAATTTTCTTCTTTAAACTTGACATACATATGGTTGTTATTCTTGATAAAATGATAGTGGTTTTTCAAATTGCTTCCAATGATTACTAACATTTGACCTGCCTCATTTCTTTGAAAGCTGTAATGAGGGAACACAATGCCAAATGGTTCAGTTACTATGGTGTAAAGTAATAACCTGATAGAGCTTGTCTTCATTGACTGGGAGAATCAATTTTAAGACATAAATGTTCCCACTAGTTATCCATTCCACATTCTCTATACATCATTCTTGATATTAGAAGTACTATAAGAACATAATAATTGCAAACTTACATTATAGAAGTCAATATATAATTCACTTTTTTTCTTTTGCACAAGAATCGTGCTACTTTCTGGAAAACACAGTTTTTTTTTTTCCGTTGTGTGTGTGTGTGTGTGTCCAAAATCATTTGAGGAAATGAATCAGTTTAAGAAATCAATTAGGAAGTATGAGTGGGCTCAATTACTGTTGGCATTTTCATTTTGTTCGAAGCAAATTATCTGACATCTACTGATGTTGGATACCTCCTTAAGAGGGGGCATGTTCCATGCTACTGGTGACTTGATAATTTTTAGTTGGTTTTGGGCTTTTGAAACCTATGATGTGCTTTCAGAGTGCCCATAGCCGAAGCTGCTTCTCACTTGTGGTATGTGTTGTTCTAAATTATTAATTGCTGTTACGGTCAAAAGATTATGTTAACACCTGCATGACAAAAAAAACCCTGAATGTCGAACATTCTGGTTGGGTTGAGGCCTCTCAACAAGCCCATCATATAGATTCTGAACTGACATCACTTTCTTCTTTTTTTTTCCCGCTTAGTTAATTCATTTCTTTTATAGAAAGCACAAACAACATAGATGATGTAGTCATTTAGAGTCACTGATTAACCATCATGTTCCAAGTGATCTAATGGTGATCAAATTGACAGGTGGCATATACATTTGATGCTGGGCCTAATGCTGTTCTAATTGCACAAAATAGAAAGACTGCTGCCCAGTTGCTGCAGAAGTTGCTTTTCTTTTTCCCTCCAAATTCTGATACTGATTTAAACAGGTACACCTACTTTTGATGCTAAGGGCACGGTATATATTGTTTCTTAGTGGAATTTGGGAACAATCTACATTGTTTCTTAGTGGAATTTGGGAAAAATCTACATTGTGTCTTAGTGGAATATATAACAGAAGGATTCTGATGAGAGGCCGATCATTTAGAGAACCTCATTAGATGAGTTTTCTGATAATGTCTTTTTATTTTTCCAGTTATGTTATTGGTGATAAGTCAATACTAAAAGATGCTGGGATTCAAGAGATAAAGGATGTGGAAGCATTGCCACCACCTCCAGAAATTAAGGATGCCTCAAGATACAAAGGAGATGTTAGTTATTTCATCTGCACAAGACCTGGCAGGGGTCCTGTTTTGCTCTCCGACGAAAGTCATGCTCTTCTCAATCCCGAAACTGGTCTGCCTAAGTAAAAGTGGCATCAAATGCCTTTTTCTTGCACGTCTATTGTCTTGCTGTACCTAGGTAAACATATCTGTGAACCTATAGGTATGACATTTTTATGATTGTTTTCAGTAATATAAGCTACAGAGAAGTAATTTTCTGCAACTTTTGATGGCTAGTTCGCAGATTTCAGATCTTTTTTTCTTGTATTTGTAATTTATTTTATTATTACTATTGTTATTACTATTTTTGCTTCTTAGTCCATTTAGGGTTTACATACTCGTTGAAAAAACTTCATTTTTTTTTTCCAAGTATCTTTGGCTGGATTTGAATAACCTTTTTCTATATTTCTAAGTTTTCTATTTTTAATTTTTATCATTGGTTTGTATATACATATACGCACATTGTTCTTATTTAACAACAAATTCTATTTAGTTATTTAAAAGTAGACATGAAATATGATTTTCTCGAACTTGAGACGATCTATGTTCACTTTCCTACTCCATTAAAAGCAGATCAAACGAGCTCTGTAGGTAAAAATCCACCAATCCTGCCACTGATTTCTGCCTAATATAAGTGTGCACGCATAACATGGTGGTAATCTCCAATAAAACCAGAGGCATTTCACTTGTAAACACCTAAATTCTGCTATATTTTGCGCTAATGGAATGCATTTTTGTAGTTGCAGAAGCAGTTCCTCAGTTCTAAACTTGCGAAACACAAAAATCATATTAGTTTAAAATTAGCATCAAAACTAAGTTCCCTTGCAAAGAGTCTCAATAACTTGTTCAACATAAATTAAGGTACAAGAGTACTAAAACCAAGAACAAGGCCACTTCACTACTTTTCGCCCAGTAAAAGAGTTTTCAAAATAGCTTCACTCGACTCAGGAATATAAGGGAACATGTGTCCTGAACCAGGGATCTCATGGTAGTGAATCCATGAAAGTTTTTGGGCAATATAACGCTGTAAGCTAGCTGGCACCATCCTGTCTTCATCTCCATGCCATAGATGAACCGAGCCTTCATTTTTAGGAAAAGGATTTTCAAGATCCATTGGATCAAATTCCCATTTCCCAAATCCAACCATTAAGTCACGATGTAAGCTTTCAAATTCTCCTTGCTGTGTTATCTGTGGCTGCAAGAAAAATAAGACATGATAAGTGGCAATATAGAACATTCAAAGAATACCATCACGTGCACGCGGATGTCGTGTATGTTTGAGCGTGCGCGTAGATATATACGATTTGAAATGGCATTGAAAATTAAGCACCTTGGACTTTTGATTCCCGAGAAACATAGGAAGGAGTTGGTGATCCTGTGGAGAGAAAACTTCAGGCTTTCCAGCTGCAACAGCTGATGCAGGAAACCATTTCTGTGTATTCCACCAGTACGTTAGACATGGAGTATAGTGAGCAACGCGTAATGTCCATTGGTCTTGTAGCAGCTGTTCGTAGTAGGCTTTTTTAGACAAGTTGCCAGGAAAGCCAGGCCACCAGTAGTTGACAACCGGAGCAAGCAGTGTGGCTCCTGCTAGTCTGTAAGCGCCCGGAAAACCCATTTTAAAATTTATAACATCAAACTAAAACAGATGAGATGCTGCAAAAAGCACCATTGTCCAGACTATCAGAAAGCAACTGAAAAAGATAAACATTCCAGTAAAATTATTCGTTAATTGTCATAAAAGTGCAGCCTTTGTCATAGTCTTAACATTCATGAAGCTCAATCAACTTTCAGACTCAAAACAGAATCCACCCATAACACTCAAGTAATAAAATAACTTCATAATTCAATTTTGCAGCATCCTATGCTTTCTTTTACTCGAATAAATTCCAGAAACTATTCTATTCCATTCACAATATGTCCCAAGTTCTGAACAAGAGGAGGGAAAAGCTCCCGAGCTCGATTTGATAATAGCAAGGAAAAATCTTACCTATGAGGAATGTACTTGAGGCAGCCCCAAACAACCTGGCCTCCCATGGAAAATCCAATTACATAGAATTTTGATCCCAGACCTAAATGATCAGCAAGCTCCTCTATATCAAGAGGCAAACTCTTTGGAGTTCGCTTTGAATCTGGATCACTTTCTCCATAACCTGGCCGGTCAAACGACACGACATACACGCCTAGCTCCTCAATGACTTCCTGAAAATAAACATAAAATGGAAAGAAACTAATAAAAAGTAATTTAGAGTTAGCACAAGTATTAACTTAAAATAGAAGGTGAATTACCCGAGAGAGGTTTGATATGATAGCAGCATCATCTTTAGTGGAGCCAAAGCCATGAACATATATGATCTTATGTTTGGCAGTTTCTCTAGATACACCATGCTCCTTGTAGGCCAAATGCCTACCATCCCGCAGCTTTATTCTGGGAGCTGTAATGGGAGGGCCACCTGGGCTGCCACAAATTTTGGGAGGCGGCGGATAGATGGCCTGATATGCCCATGCCAGCATCACAATCAACAACACTACTGTAATTTCCTTGAACATCTCTACAAAAGCTGCTCTAAATTGGGAGGAATTCTCACATTACAAATAAAGAATAGCAAAAAGCAAGAGGAATGAAATTTGGGACTAAAATTTATGGTCCAGCCAATAACTTATCAGCATCACAAAAAGATTACCATTGTTAAAGCAAGTCTACACAAGTGTATATAGAGAAACTAACAAGTTAAAGAGAAATCATCTCTATAAATTTGAGGCAAAACTCAAGAACTTTCACATTCAACACCAATCATTTCTACAGAAAGTACTTGAAAAGCAAAAAATGGTTGCATTCAATTTACCAATCAAAACACATTATATGCTCCCACCAGAGGCTGAAGGAAGTACTCATAAGTATTCCAGAAATTGGAAAAGTTAAAAACAGAAAGAAAAAAACAAAAAAACAAAATTGGCATCCATTTGCTGGTGAAAACTAATTTATGGTATTGAATTTCTTGAAGCATTGATTTTAGAACTGAGCCTTGCATCCATATTACCCACAAAAGAGAGTAATAACAGGAAACCCAGTTCATTTTTCATAATTCACAGAGGAAATATCAATCAGCTTCATTTAGACAAAAAAGGAAAATATAGGCTAAGATGCAGTAACCCACACTATGATGCAAAATAAATAGAGAGAGAGAGAGAGAGAGATAGAGAGAGAGGAGAGGGACCTTAAAGAAACTGAAATGGACAAAGAAACTCAAAAGTAGTGTGGAAAGTAGTTGTGGTATGGCAGTTATATATTTTAGCTGACCTCAGGATACATTACAGTTTCACCACTAAATGATTACACCCTTTTCTTATTGCAAGGGTGTTTAAGGTAATTAAATAAAAATAAAATAATCATTAAACAAACTCATTTTTTTTTTTTTAAAAAAGTTATAATTGACTAAATTACTTTTTGTTAATTCTTAAAATAATACTTTTCTTAGAAGAAATATCAAATGATAAAAATAAGACTGAAACAATAATTAATACTATTTCTTTAATTTTTTAAATAATAAAGTGATACTTAAAATGGAAGGAAGAGAATAGTAAATCTTGTTGAAGTTGAATCTTGAATAGGAAATACTGCTAAAGTTTGTATTTTTACCAAATTTAATTAATTTATTTTTTGTCCTGTTCAGTGGTAGGTGGTACTGTATAAAAGTACAAGCTTTCAATGGCTTTTGTTGGATCAAAGATAGATGGTCCATGGTAGGTAAAAGTAGACTCAATTAGATTATGTCATTATTGTGAAATTGTATTCAAAATTCCAATAGCAATTTAATAAATTAAAAATAATTTTTTTTTTTTAAAAAAAAAGGGAGAAGAAATGGAGGGGCTATTTACTGAATTTTTTTTACTAAAATAGAAAATCCCTTAGATGTGATGTGTATATATATGCTTTAAAATTAAAAATGCTTTAACTCAATTAAAAATTCTGATATTAAAAAAAAGATAAATATTTTAACTCAACTTAGAAAAAATAATAAAATACTTAGTAATTTATTATTATAACAATAAAGGATTAATATTTGACGTCAATTATAATTTTAGTATTTCATAAAATAAAAAGGAGAAATAAACTTAATTTAGTAATATTTTGACTCAATTTTGAAAGAAGAAATAACTTAAATAGTAATATTTGACTAAATTTTGAAAGAAGAAATACTTTTAACTCAATTAGAAGTTTTGATTCCTTTTGTAAAATAAAACAAAAATATCCATATAAATATAAAAATCAATTAGGATAATCAAGAATATTTTAGCTCAAATAGAAAGCCTAGTATTAAAAAGAATATTCTTTTAATTATGAATCTTAATATTTTTATAAAAAGATAAATCAATTGGAAAACCAAATATTAAAAATAATTAATTATGATATTTCTTATACCAAAAACACAAGAATTGTCTTAATTATTTATTATTTTATTTTATTTTATTTTATGTCTAGTCTAGTATGGGCAAGACAGATTAATCTCCCAACCAATCTCTGATACCTACCAATTTCATTTGGGTTCTCACTCCAGCTTGAAGCTAATGATTAGCTTCAATAAGTGATTATGCAGATTTACATTCGAACAAATTAGTTTACTAATGTAAGAGGTAAAAATTTCTTTGTCAGACTCGACAACTTGTATCTCAAGAAAATATTTTATTTTTCCAAATCTTTATTTTCAAACTCCCTAGCTAAAAGTTTTCCTAAGCAATCACCTTCCTTTTTATTATCATCAACATAAACAATAAAAAATGTGATCTTACCTCTACAATGTTTAATGACTAAGGTATGATCAGCACTGCTCTGAATGTATCCAAAAGAAATCACGACTTTGTTAAACCTTTCAAACCATGCTCTTGGTGGATGCTTTAGTCCATATAGTGAGTTCTTCAACTTGCAAACTTTTCTTCTAGTATTGTCATCATCAAACTCAGGAGGGATCTCCATATATACTTCTTTTTTTAAAGTCACCATATAGAAAAGCATTCTTAATATTAAACTACTGTGAATCAAGGTTGACTACACAAGATAATAATATTTTGATTGTTTTCATCTTTGTCGTATGGTCAAAGATTTTTGATAATCAACTCGATAGGTCTGATTGAACCCTTTGGCTATCAATCTAGCTTTATACCTTTTAATTGAACCATTTAACCTATGCTTAACTGTGAACACCTATTTACATCCAGCTGGTTTCTTTCTTGGTGAAGGAAGTACAAGATGCTATATCTTTTATTTTTTTCAATACTCTCATTTCCTCAACCGTTACAACCTTCCAATTTGGATCATATGATGCCTTTTGCCAATCCTATGGTACAGTACAGAAGAAACAAACAAATCAAAGGTTCTTAAGAAGGAGGCAAAGCTTCGTAGGAAATAAAGTGGGAGATGGGATCTTTAGTACATATTCTAATTTATTTTCTAAGAGAAATAGGAATATCAAGATCAAGAATTAGAATCAGGACTAGGATCAGGATCAATAGGAATTAAAGAGGAATCACCAGGTTCTTCTGTATCCTACCAATTGGTACAATAAGTGTGGAACATGACTGGATTTTTCATTCATTCCTAATTTGTTCTTAGCATATCTTTTTCAAACGACAATGACGATCTAAATCCAGTTGTCAATGAAGTTCAAGTTAATAATAGCGATAGTAGCAGCGCCACCCTTGTCAACAATAATGGAACCAACCAAACATGAAACAATACTAGCAACTCGACCCTCGTAGAAAATTGAGATCCTCAAGTAGCATTGACATTGAATAACTTTATAAGAATTCTGAAAAAACTCATTCAAGTGATAGCCAACCAACAACCAAAGGTTGATGCACAACCAGATAATCAAAGTCTGCCACCAGATAATGATCAATCACATCCTTATAACTTACGGAATCAAAATTCGAAGGGCTTACCAAAATAGGTATAATTAAATTTTGGTGAAGGAGACCAAGACGGTAAAGACGATATCTCATGTCAAGACGACATGTACTTTACTTGCTCTAATTAGAGTAGTAAGACTCGACCTATCGCTGACACTAATTGGCGTAATGTGACCCTAGCTAATTATCAAGTACTCTTGCAAATTAACAAGGAGAATCTAGCGGAAAGCATGCAATCACGGAAGTACCCGTCAATCCCTGAACCCCCAAGTACTCTTGAAGAGAGCAAGGAATTTAAAACAAGAATCAGAAACTTACCTTCAACTACTCTTGAAAACAATTCTGAAATTCTTGGTGCAATTAATCTTGTAGAACTCACAATCCTAATTGCTAATGGAAGTTGGTTTGCGTTCATCCAATGAAGAACACGCTTTCTTTGAAAGAAAGAAAAAAAATCACGTTTTTGATTGATTAAATCTTGGCTGCCATGCAGCTTTTACAAAACCAATATAAGTATCTTCAAAACCTAAACCTAATTAGCCTTTAATTAAACTAACCTAGGCCTAACCCAATATGGCCCATATGGGCTTAATTAAATACAAAGCCTAAGCTAACTAATTAAAACAGTCTAACTTAAATATTAACTAATCTAGGGCCGGTCCAACTTTGGGATGTAAGTTCAACCAGCCTTACATTAAACAATTAGGCCCACTATAAAACAAACTAAACAAAATAAGATAGATGGGCCCACAAGCCTTACACGCCCCATACTTAAGCTTATAATGAAAGAACATTCTTCTAAATTTGCCTAAGTATAAAATATGTACAATGGATCAATGGACAGCCTCTTTACACGCCTAAAGCACCACAATAAGCTTAGGTGCTTCTTCAAGTTCAATCCCACATTTTGCAATGTTATGATCTTGTAGCTCCAATGTGACTTGTTCTTGAACAAATGCATGCAAGGCTATTTGTAGCTTAGTTGCATGAGCTCTTGTGACTTTGAACATGCATGCAAGGCTATTTGTAGCTTAGTTTTGCATGAGCTCTTGTGATGGCCAGATTGGTAGAGATAAGGATCCTTCACCTTGGCTTCCTTGATCCGTATGCATTCCTCCCTTAAAAAGATTTGTCCTCAAATCTGAATCATTAGCAAATGGATAAAGGTTAGAAACATTAAAGGTAGCTGACACGCCATGCTCACCTGGTAAATCAATCTTGTAGGCGTTGTCATTGATCCTCTCCAGTACTTAAAAAGTTCCATCACATCGGGCATCAAGCTTTCCTTTCCTTTGGTTTGGGAATCTCTCCTTCCTTATGTGCACCCAAACTCAATCTCCCTCCTTCCCTTGTTGGCACAGTCAGCATAGCCTTTGTTCTTCATGTCTATATGAGCCTTAGCTTAGCGTGCATCTCCCTGACTAATTCAGCCTTCTTCTCACCATCCAAGTTAGCAATTTCACTCAAACACAAAGGTGATAAATCAAGCACAGTCAAAGGATTAAAACCATACACAAGCTCAAATGGACTATAACCAGTAGAAGAAATTATAGACCTATTATAAGCAAATTCAATAAAAGGCAAATAATCCTCCTAGGTTTTCAGATTCTTACCAACCACCGCTCTAAGCAAAGTACCTAGAGTTCTGTTGACTACCTCATTCTGGCCATCCGTCTGGAGATGACAAGTAGTAGAGTACAACAACTTTGTACTTAGCTTACTCCATAAAACACGCCAAAAATGAGAAAGGAACTTGGCATCATAGTCTGAGACTATGGTGCGTGGCACCCCATGCAATCTCACAACCTCCCCGAAAAATAATTCAGCAACATGGACAGATCATCACTCTTATGGCATGCATTGAAATGTGCCATCTTACTAAACTTGTCCACAACAACAAAAATACTATCCCTACCACGCTTTGTCCTATGCAATCCAAGCACAAAATCCATAGAAACTTCAGTCCAAGGCAAAGGAGGTACAAGTAAAGGCATATAAAGACCATGAGGCATAGATTTAGACTTAGCCTACTTACATGCAATACACACAACACATAATCGCTCGACGTCTCTATGTAAATGTGGCCAAAAGAAATGTTCAACAAGCATATCATATGTCTTATGAATCCCAAAATGCCCTATAAGGTCCCCACAATGTGATTCTAACACAAACAATTCACGCATAGAACATTGGGTTTACAAAGTTTGTTTCCATTAAATAAATATCCCTCATGCCTAAAGAACTTGTTAAAAGCCCCATGTTCACATGCACTCCAAATAAG